TGCAGTGACTTTCGTGAATGAATTAGTATGGTGAAAGTTGGTATAAAAATCTCATTAGCCATTGTTAAACAGGATTCCGGTTGGTTTATAATGTGAGAGTGGTATGCCACAAAGTTTTATGACTTTCATGGCTCAGTAAGCCAACATTGCAAACTGCTGCATAAGCTAATACTAATTGCATCTGCAGTGTTTGCATTGCTATTATATAGCATCAATACACCTAAAAGCCATGAGAAAAACATTTAGTTTGCAAACATTTTATTTAAAGAAAAGACAAGATGTAATTTCTTTGTGTGATGTGGTTCAGAGTGTATGTGTGAATAAGAACCTCATTCGAATAAAGCAGACATTTATTACTATTTTTTTTCCTTTGGTTGGTCTCTGTCAATCAGTTTCTCCACCTGAGAATTAAATTCCCAAGTCAGAATGAATTATAATACTCTGTGCTGAATAAAGACCCCTTAAAATGAAATGGATTTGAAATGTGCTAAGTGGACTTCGAACCACTGACCTAACTAATTTGAATAGGTTTTTCTGTCTATTATCCAATTTGTATTAAACCCATTTTTATCATAATTATGTAATTGAAAAAAATTAAGATCATCTCCAAAACAAGAAATTAGCTTAATTTTTGCCACCATAAATTATAAAATTTTTTGCAACCGATTACCGAGCAAAAATGCTTCTAGAAATTAATTGTTAATTTATTTAAAGCTAGAATCCATAAAAAAATAGTTTATACAGAAGTGAGCATTCTGTCGTCTTTTACTCATTCATGCTGTTCCAAACCTTACTTTCTTATGCAAAACAGAATATTAGGTCCCAAAAACTTCAATTGGTTGCCATTTAATTTCATTGTATGGATAAACAATACCACTTTTTTAAAAACGTAAAAATCTTCTTTTGTGGAAGGTTTGGAATTACATTAGGTGAGTGCACTATCCCTTCGACATAGATGAATATGCTGTAAGAGGAATGAGAGCGTGAAATACACACTTATTCCTCTAACATGATCATCCGTTTGTGTGTGTATTGTCATGCAACTCGTATGAAATCTTTTATTAGAAGCCTGATGATTATGCATGTATTAATATGACCATGACATGGACGTGTGCATGTCTACAGCACATGAAGACACAGCCAGCGTCCTTCCCTGCTGCACACACATCATCACGCTCTCTCGCGTGAGAGGCCAGCCGCTTGCTTTTCAAAACGCCACCCTCGGAGAACACCAAAAAACCTTTCCTGAATTTACCGACTTGTCTTTCCCTCCTCTATCTCCTTCAAACATAAAAGAGAGAGTAACAACTAAACAAAGCAAACTCCTCTCTTTCCCCGTGGCAGCTAGGTTGCTGCAAAGTGAAACCCCTACTGTGTTTAAAAAGGCATAGAGGGAGAGTAGCTCTGAATGGCGTTTCTCTATTAGACCCCTTGTACCTCCGTCAAGCGATCTGCTTCCGCTCTCTTTCTCTGTCTGATAACAATCCATCACGGAAACCCCTCTCGTCCCCATGGAGGTTTTTTACTTTTTTTTCTGCTCCTTTATGAAATCTATTCTTTAATTACGAGTGCCATCATTTTGTAAGCCTCCTACTTACAAGATAATTTATTTCTTTTTCAAGTGCTCACTTAAAATGGCTTTTTTAAATTTTCACCCTGCAGCAGTATGCATTGAATGTAGAAGATTTAATTTGGATCCTCCCTCCCCCTTTTGCTGTACCCATTTCTTCGCCAACCCCCTACGCACGTACATGCATAATGCCCTCTACCTCCTCTGCGATTGTTCTATCCAATTTCGCTGTTTGTATTCTTTATTGCCAATCCGGGCACTGTAAGGTTTGAGGGTCTTGAGTAATAGCAAGTTCCTCCCCTCTCTCTGTCTGCATTGAGAGTGGTTTTGCATATCTCCTCCTCCTCCTTCCCCTTGTTGAGCTAGTGCCACTGACCAAATCCGAACACTATAGTATTGAGAATCCCTGCCGAGTCTCTGTGTACTTAGGCCCGCAAAGTGCTCGCAGCCATAACTACCTGAATTGATTTTAATTGCCTGGTATAGCTGCATCATCTCAGTCAAGAATATGTTTGCTTGGTTCTTGAGGGTAATTGTAAGCGTGAAGGATTGGATTAAGTGGCTATTGAAGTGACTTTAGCTTCTTTTGACAACAAAGACCAAAAGAATACTTCACCCCTTCACTCCCTCCTTAAAGTACTATGCTACCTCCTTCTTTTTGTCAGGGCGGAAAGGAATACAGTCAACTAATACAGTCCCTTCATGTGCAATCGCAAGGAACCGACAGGCAAAGACTGTTCCCGGCTGTAATTAGTTGTATGTGATACCAATTATTTGGCGCATTTATTAACGCTAATTGTTTGAACACCCTGACATACCGAAAAAAAACAATTAAAACGTGTCTGAGCCATAACGGTGGTTATTAGTGTGTGATAAAATGTGGAAATTAAGCCATAAACGCACACCTCTATTAGCCCTGACACAGGGGAACAGAAATCTGACAGCTTCTAAAAGTCATTTACCAGAAAGATTTGTGGTCTTGTCTTAACTTTGTTGTGTTGGGGTATGTAATCTCTCCCAAGTCTCTTTCACATCACACTGGCTTGGCCCTAAATAGATTTATTCAGCTGTGCTTGCTAAGCCATTGTGAATTAGCATTAGAGAAGAAACGTTTGCTCTGATGTTGTCGGAGATAACAGCCTCAGGTCAGCAGTGCTTATCCATTAGAGGACTGAAAGGAAAACAAACCTTGTTTCTTCAGTTTGTAAAGATTGGGAAGGGAAATTGAAGTTCAGGCTAAGTACTTGAGATTAGCCAGAGGTGTTTTTATATACATGTGTGCAGTAGGGGTGTGCGATATATATCGTCTGCGATAATATCGTAATTGTTGTTTTAACGATGTGCGATTTGACATTATC